ATAAAGAAGGTCATGGAGGATAATATGTGTAACTTCATAGACGAAAGCTTCTCAAGTTCGAGAGAAAGGATTAGGAGTAATGAGTACCAAGAGGGAAGTACTGCAGGTCCTGAGAGGGTCAATCAGTTTAAAGAAAATGAGATTCATCTAGTTCCTATTGAACATCAGGATCAGTCTATTCCTCGGTCTAAAAGTCTTGTTAATCACAGAAAGTTGAGAATTGCTCCACGCTGTTCAGGAGGTGCATGTTCGAATACTGAAGTGTCTATCAGCTTTTTTGTTAAAGTGTATAGAAGGGTTTGGAGAAGTATGGTCAGAGATTCATTGGAACAAGTCAGGGAGGTATCTCAGTCTTCCCAATCTTCTGTTAAAGCTAGGAATGAAGCTGCTGCTACTAAGGAGGTCTATGAAATGTTGGGGATTACCTTTAAAGGGGGCAGAAATTATTAGAGGAGGATTTTTAAGATGGAGATGAAGGGGTCTTCAAGGAGATCCTGAAGGTTTCTCGAGTTCGGTGTGGAACTTAGGATTTTCATTTCAAATGTCAAAGATAAAAGTGATCACGTGGAATATTAGAGGTCTTGGGAGAAGAGAAAAAATCAGAGCAGTGGCCAGACTTGTTAATAGAGAGAAGTCGTTCATCCTATTTTACAGGAGTCAAAACTGAATGTTTGTAATAGTGGTCTATGGAGGAGGTTAGGGGTAATCTATTGAAAGGTCATATCTTTAATCCAGCTGAGGGTTCTGCAGGTGGTTTGATAAGTTTGTGGAATGAGAATTTTTTTGAGGTCAGTGCATAATACAATCAGAATAGATTCATAGCATTATCAGGGAAGTTAAAGCTATACAACTTTGATTGTGTTTTAATTAATGTATATGGTCTGGCAATAGAGGCGGATAAAGAGGAATTCTTTAGGGAGCTGATGTGTTTTGTACAGAGTTTGAATCTGCCAGTTTGCATGGGGGGATTTTAATGCTTATTTGGATACAGAGGAGAAATGTGGTGTTGCACAGAATTGTCATTCCTTGGATTTTTTTAGATCCTTTGTTCAACACTTTAATCTTATATATTTATCATTAGTTGGGGGAAGATATACTTGGTGCAATAATAGAGAGCCTCCGACTTGGGTAAGGTTGGATCGGTTTATTTTTAGTGGTTCATTCCTAAATCAATTTCCTAATGTGATCCAAAAAATGCTTTCCAAATTCCTTTCGGACCATAATCCCGTAATGTTAGTTGAAGAATGTAACAATTAGGGACCTAAGCCTCTTCGATTATTCAACTACTTGCTAGAGGAAGAAGGGTTTGTTGAGTTGGTTGAAAATTCATTGTCTAATGTGAAGAAAGCTAATGGTCGAGGGGGTTTATTTTCTCTACTTCGAGGAACTAAACAAAATATCAGGTATAGGCCAAATACGAGTCTCAAGGGGATTTCTGAAGATATTTCTCATCTAGAAAGAAAGATAAATGGTCTAGAATTGAAGTTACAAGAAGGAGGGATTTCTATTCAAGAACGGGATTTGCTGATTTTGTGTAGGAACGAACTGTGGAAGTTGCACAAGAGGGAAGAGAGTATTTGGTTACAAAGATCAAGACTGAAGTGGATCAAGGAAGGGGATAGTAATACTAAGTTTTTCCATTTAACAACAATTAATAGAAACAGAATAAAGGCAATTTCGGCTTTGAAAGTGGCTGATGAAGAGATATTTAAGCCGGATAAGCTGAAAAACTTTGTCTTTGAGTATTTTCAGCTGAATTACAGTTCACAAGCTACGCTAGAGGTAGAGGACATTAATCTTAATTTTGTAAAATTATCAGAGGAGCAGAAGAGTGGTCTGGAGGTGAAATTTTCAGAACAGGAAGTTTGGGAAGCAATGTTTCATTCGGACAGTTCCAAAGCCCCGGGTCCAGACGGTTTCACGATGTGTTTTTTTAAGAAATTATGGCCTATTATGAAGGACCATCTTATGAAGTTTGTGGATGACTTTCACAGAGGAAGGAGTTGAGAGCATGGGGTTAATCATGCTTTTATTACATTATTCCCTAATAAACTAAATCATGAAGGCATTGAAGATTACAGACCTATAAGTCTAGTTGGCAGCCTGTACAAAATTATCTCCAAAATCGTATCGAGAAGACTGGTTTTGGTTATTAAAGATTTGATCAGCCCATTGCAGTTCGCTTTTATTCCAGGTAGGCAGCTGTTGGATTGTGCTTTTATGGCCAATGAATCTATTGATTATTGGAGGAAAAAAGGAAGGAAATAAGTGGTTTTTAAAGTCGATTTTCAGAGAGCCTATGATTCAGTGGAATGACCAATTATTTTGAGATTATTGAAGGTAATGGGTTTTGGAGACAAATGGATCTCTTGGATGGATTATTGTATTTCTTCTACTTCAATATCGGTTCTAGTTAACGGATCTCTTACACAAGAATTTCAAATAGGTAAGGGGTTGAGACAAGGTTGTAGTTTGTCCCCTCTTCTGTTTAACATTATTGGTGAGCTCTTAAATTTAATGTTGAGTAAGGCTGCTGTTCTTGGCCTTTTCGAAGGGTTCAGTATTGGTAAGAATGAGAACCTTTTTAATTTGACACATCTCCAGTTTACAGACGATCTAATCATATTCTGAAGAGACTCCTCAACCCAAATTCTTAATATTAAGAGAGTTTTGAGGGTGTTCAGCTTAATTACAGGGCTTCATCTTAATCTGTCCAAGAGTAAATTATTTGGTGTTAATATGGAAGAGGACAGTTTAAAAGAATTTGCACTGCAAGCAGGTTGCGGGGTTGGATCTTTTCCTATAACTTATCTAGGTATACCAATAGGAGCAAATAAAAATTTTGAGCTATTGTGGGAGCCAGCTTTACAGAAAGTATAGAAGAGATTAGCAGGTTGGAAAGCAGCCTCTCTATCGATGGCTGGAAGATTGGTGTTGGTAAAATCGGTGTTGTCATCCTTACCTATTTTCTACCTCTCCATTTTTAAAATTCCGGTTAAGGTAAATTAGAAACTAAATTCCGTAATGGCCAGATTTCTTTGGGGTGAAGTTTCAGAGAAGAAAAGGGTTCATTGGGTGAATTGGAATATAGTATGTCAACCATTTGAAGAGGGTGGCTTAGGAGTCGTGGACTTGAGTTTGGTTAATAGAGTTTTTCTTGGGAAATGGGTTTGGAAGTATGCAAATGAGAAAGACTCTCAATGGAAAAAATTAATTTGTTGTACGCATAATGTCAGTAAGTTATCTTTGTCAATAGGCAAAGTCGTTTCTTCTCAAAATTCTTGGTTATGGAAAGGGATTCTGAGTAACTATGAGAAAAATGATGAGATAGGAGAGTGTTTGAGGTCTAATTCGAAGATACAAGTGGGGAACTGTAGGTCAATTGAGTTTTGGAATGATGTTTGGGTCAATGGATCTTCTTTAAAGATTCAATTCCCTAGGATGTTTGCTCTTTCGACTAACAAAAGGGGTAAAGTGGTTGAATTTGGTGACTTTGAAATTAATGATTGGGTTTGGAACATTCAGCTAAGGAGAAATCTTTGTGACTGGGAGTTTGAGCAGTGGTTTTCCTTAATGTGTTTGATTCAGAACATAGTCTTGAATGAATCTGTGGATGATTTTCTGGTGTGGTCGGGGAGAGGTGAAGGTTTGTATTCGGCAAAATCGTGTAGACTGACTATTTCAAGCAGAAATGGAACTTCTTTTCAGTGGAAGAAATGGGTGTGGTCAGGAATGGCTTCTCCTAGAGTGGAAACATTTCTATGGCAGGTTACTCATCAGAAATTGGCGGTTAGAGTGGAATTAAAGAAAAGAGGGATTACTATAGAAGATGTTTTGTGTCCTTTACGTCATAAATTTGAGGAAACAATTCATCATCTGTTTATTTCTTGTTCGATTGCAGAGGAGTTGTGGTATAGATTTCTAAGATTGTGGGATATCTCTTCAGTTATGCCCTAAGAACCTTCTTCCCTTTTTAGTTCGTGGTCTTATCTAAGGGAGCAGTCTACTATTTGGAAGTTTATTCCAGGAGTCGTTCTATGGTCTTTATGGAGAGCTAGGAACTTAGTGGTGTTTGAAAATTGGAAACTAGAAACTTCATCTATGTTCTTCATTTCCAGGTTTAGATTAGCTAAATGGTTTTTATCGAAATTTCCTCATGTTAATATTCAGGTTGACCTACTAGTAGGGGATCCATCGATGGCAGATAGATTTCCTACTAAATCCTATAAAAGGAAGAAGGCTATCTACTGGTCTCCGTCTCCTACTGATTTCTTTAAATTCAATGTTGATGGAGCGATGAGTGGAGTCTTGAAATATTCGAATTGTTATATTTTAAACTCATTCTCTATTGCGGTGGGTCCTGGTCGTCCTATGTTAGCTGAGCTGAAAGCTATTAAACAAGGAATTGATTTATTCCTTTCTTCTGAATGGGCATCGAAGGGTAGACTAATCCTACAGAGTGATTGTAAAACAACAGTTGATTGGAATTTGTTGCCATTTTCTGCCCCTACGTTTTTCAGTACTTTGGTTGGGGAAATTGGGACCTTAGTTTCTGCTTGGGGTATTATTGTTAGATGGATTCCTAGGAGTTGCAATTCGGAGGCATACAAGTTAGCTAAGGAGGGGATTGGTTGATGTTTATAGCTTTATGGTTGGTTTGGTTTGTATATTATTTCGGGAGGTTTATTATGTAAGATGTAAGCTTATGTAATTCTGGTTTATTAATAAGATGAGGTACTCTTTTCCTCCTTCCGATAGTTTCCTCTTCCACAAGAGCCAACTAAGAAGGAGGTTTTTAATGAGACCTCCTATTCCTATCAAAAAAAATAAAACTCACAGTTAATGGAGAAGCATAATGGTAAAACAATACAACTAAAGAAATACAGAAAAAGTAACCATTGAAACACATATCCTAAAAACCATTCTATCATAATATAGAGTTCAACATTGTATCCTATGCAAAAAGTTTGGACACTTGAATCTTAATGCTGATGGCATACCTCTGCAACAGGTTGACAAAAATGCGACATCCACCTATAAGATTTACTTGTTCAAGGAAGGAGACAAGTAATGTTTTTTGAGAAACTGCACGTATAACCATATGTAAAACATCCTCAATGCATGCCATATCATGGCTTGTTTCAAAAAAGGCAATAAGAGCCTTTATATCTGGTGGTGCAATATTTTGCCTGCATGCAACAGTTTTAATCAGATAAGAAAGAGCAGATGTACTGTACAACAAGAAACAGCTTGAAACATGTACCTGAGGCTCATTTCACCAAGACTTAATAAAAGAAGACGGATTTTATGTATTTCTTCTCTTCTAGGTCTTTCTCCAATAACTTGATTAGTAATAGGATGTAAAAGAGGTTGGCCTCCAATGGCAAACCCAGATTTCACTTCATCCCAGTAACATTGCTGTATTATGTCGATAATACGTGGAAAGCGGCACAGATTTTTAAGCAGTCTAGGATCATTATCAAATTGTTCTATAAGAAACATGTATAGTTCACGCTGCACCTTGAAAACAGTGTACAACCAGGTAATGGGATTAAGAAAAATAGAAGCTATGACTTCTTTTACAAGCAGCTCTGCCAATCCTAAACAGCAAAATAAGATATATTATTGAAGGGAACGAATAGAACTACAATTATTATAAGAAAAAAACCATAGGGTTCATCATGCATACCACAGGAGGATACAACAAGAAACAAATTTTTCAATGCTGAGAGAGTTTCCATATTGAGTTGCTGAGGTGGAACTGATTGCAGTAAAAATCCCAGTATTGAAAAACCAGAAAGAAGATGCATCTGTTGTTGATTTGCTAAATTCTCATTAAAGACAGAAGCAACAAGATCAATAACTTCAGCGGTCAGACGCTCCTTTGCAACTGGGAGGGTTGTACTTTCTAAAGCTTTAGTTTCGTCATTTTCATATCTCTCGGATTGAGTTATAAGAGGGAAAAACACAGAAACACCTCCAACACAGTAAATTATCTCTTTGAACAAGCGCCTGGAACATAACTGCGTACCGACCATTATAGTTGCTTCGAATAAATTCTTATCCAATGCATTATCCAATACAGGTGAAACATTAAACAATTTCTTGCCATCACTTGCCTGAAAAGGAGTTGCATTTAGGTTTCAGCTACATACACACAAAAGAAAATGTGTGCGCAAGGATAGACATATGATTTTATGTTAGGGGTGAACTTATAAAGTTCTAAGGACTAAAACAGATTATTAATACAACCCCCCCTCGATCCATCCCTGTGTGTGCATCCATGTCCTAGAAAGGTAGAGATAAAGAACCTGTGCATTGAGTCCAAACACAATTTTTGATGCAAGACCGTCTTTCTCATCAAGAATTCCACTAGGCAAAGGGTTACCACCAAAAGCAGTAGCTTCATTATCCAGGAAGGAATACATGTAGCTTGGTCCAAGGGAATGTACAGCCTTGACTTGGTCGGAGGAAATGGCATCAGCAAACAAATAAAGTGGACCAATCTGACCGAAAAAGGGGGAAAAATCCTGGATGGAGTCCTGAGTAATATCTTCATTTTGAGGTAAGATGGGTTTTGTACCAATGGAGCAGTTAGTCAATACTTCATTGACTTTTGCATATCTGAGGCATGATTATGACAATCACTAATCTGGGTTGATGAACTATGTTACTCTTGAAAAGTTTTTTTAATGATAAAAAAACAAAAAGCAAAATACAAACTGAGAATGACTAATAAAGGTGGCATGTTACCTGCATCTTTCAGAGGATACAAGATTGCCATCAAGATAACATCTAAATAAGCTACCCCCAGAAAATGCTCTACCAATGGTATGAGTAATACAAAGAAAGTGCCATTTCCTGCTGACTATATTAACATGCGCATGAACACAATGATGTTTCAGATTGATAGACTGTGAAACACATGAAAAATGTATCAGTAACTGCATGAAATTGGCAGTGATGCCCAGTGAAGAGAAAACAGGCCAATCCTTTCTACCTGCTACATTGTTCATGTAACTTTTACCTCATATATAAGCTTGTCTTCTGCTACTGATGCTAAGAAGCCTCTTCCATTTTCGGTGAGGAACTTGAAAAGTCCCATTGTTCCATTCCTGGGGAAGTTCTCCACCCTAAGCCAACATGTAAAAGAAAAACCCTTGTACAGAGGCCAATGCACAGGTGTTTTAATTATGATTCCCTACAAAAATAATATAGGGATTCTTACAAATTATTCACATGACACAATGAATGAATGAAAAACGGTCCAAAAGGACTTATAACAATAAGAATATCAGAAGAAATGCTCCTCAAGGACAGACACCAAAAGGACTTACAGAGTCATTTCCGTTGAGATCAAAGAATGCAGTCGGTCCCTTCTCATTTAGCATTGATAAAACAGTAGTCAACAATAATGAGCAGTATTGTTGTTGAGTACCAACTTTCTCACTTCGGAGGAGAGCAAAGATCTTGCGAATATCCTTCCCAGATATGCTATAGCCACCAATAACCTGAATCAGCTGAGCTATTTTCAAAATGACACTGTCATCGCCTTCTTGGACAAACCAATCAAGAAGAAAATTAAGCATTCCGGCCACGACACACGAAGCTCGATTCGAAAGGGAATCTCTAAGCAGCTGTTGAAACACACCGAGACCATAAAGCCGCAAAGATTCACTGCTCTGGGCAATCAAAAAGTTGCAAGTAATGACATCAAATTTAAACGACTGCCACTTATAGTAAGAATCATCTACCAATAGGAATTTCGTAACCACCAAGAAAAATGAATTACTAACCTTCTGCAGAACACTTGAATATAGTAAGATCACATCTTCATTCTGAATCGAAGGATATAAATGTATATGAGAAGAAAGACAGTGGCAGCATGAAGAAAATGAAAAAAAGACTACATAATTAGTTCACATGACCAGACAGCATGGGCGTAACAATGTATCAAAGAGGCTTTTCAGAAAATAAAATCACCTTTATATGAGAACTTTCTTTCATATCAAACTTTCCATCAACTAACATATCAAGAAGTGCATTCAAAAGTTGTTCACTTGGATGCCATTGACACACGTCTAACAGCAAAGTTTGCAATGTCTGATAACCCTTGCCAGCAAGAGCTCTAAAAGTTGCCTGAAAAATTAATTAATAAAACATTCAATTATTCCAGGAAAAAAAAACTAATGAAAATGAAAAAAAAAGTAAAAAAGAGAAGGAAAATTACCTTGGAGGCATCATTCCTTGCAAGCAAATAGGTAAGAGTTTGTAAAACAACCAAAACCAACCTCTCTCCATTTTCCTCTTGATCAAGATCGCCATTCAGTAAAGAGACAACATGCAAAAAACATCCTCCATCTCGAAACAAAGCTTGGTAATGCTGATGAAACATGAAATTTGTTAGAAATGTATAAAAGTCAATTCCCAAGTTGCCAAAGAGACACAGCTTTAGATAAGGGCATAGGGATTATACCACAACATCAGTCTGAATTACATCTATCATTCCAACCAACAGATTAATAGACAATTCGACGAAGCTTTTCTCCTTTTCCTTTATATGAGTGAAGGTTTCTAAATATTTTGAACATACATTCAGCATTGCTTTACGATCTTCTTCGGACAGTGTTACAACCTAAACAAATGGAAAGATGAGGGGGGAAAATGGAACATGTCTATTTGTTAGCAACATAGTATAATAATGAACCACAAATCTTTCTAACAGTATCAAACATACATTCATGAGGTCAAGAATGTATTTAAGAACACGTTTTCTATAGTCTTCTTCCCAGAATAATTCGAACAAACAGTCGATGCAGGTAGAATCATGCAAAATTAAACTCCTAGAATCATCTGCTACCGAGAAAAACTCCGTAAAGATCTCCATGCATGTTTCTATGCCTTCAGTCCAACTTCGGAATGCCTCACGTGAATCAGAACTCTGGCAACCATGAGATGGTGCCCCTTCCAAATAATTATTACCAATCATGGGGATAGTGTCGCCTGACTGTTTTGATTCTTGGGCCAGAATGCAAGCAACTTTAAGAACCCTGGAAAGTGCATTGAGTGTCTTGAAGGAAGCAACCGTTTTTTCTGCTGATAGTTGTAATATTCGAAGCAAACTTTTTGCAAGAACACCAGCAATCTCAGGATTACAAGTACATTGTTCAAGGGCCTCTAATAAAGCAGATAGTTCAGGCTGTCAAAACATAGAGAGAAAGAAGTTAAACAAGCTCAAAAGATCAAAAATACAACCTAATGAAGAATAAATCTTTTATGTTACTGCTACAAGTGTAGAACAAACTGGAACATTCACTGGCATAACAGATACAAGCACACATATGCAGAAAAATTAAACAAAGAGTCAAACATACACATCATACTTCCGTTAATACATAACCATATGATATAAATAAGTTTAAATATTTACAATTTTTCAAATACAAGACACCCTAAATTTCTGATCAGCATGCTGCTTTGATATTAGAGGCAAAAGAAATTAACAACATATTACAGTACTAACTATGTTCATCATTGTGATTTCAGCATATCTATATCCAAGCAGGACCCAGATGAATTCCCCAAAAAGTATGATTACAAGCATTGAAAGAATACTTGAAAGCATAGTACTGCTAACTTTTCTGATTAAGGTATTTTCATCAGTGACAGAGTTCTTATTAGAGCCCATAAAACCTCAGACTTCCCCTTTCTCTCCCTTCATAATCACCTATGTCAATGTCAATCTTACATGAATGTCAACTAGATAAGAAATTAATTGTTCATGCATGTAGGTCAACTGTTACATGAATAACATCTCATAGTGATGACGACTTACCAAGTTTTGGACACTCCCATTAGAAGTTGCCACTGACTCAACAAATGTTATCACTTCCATATGAATAGTTTCAACCCCACTATACTTCAGTTGAACAACATTGCTCTGACAAGCATAATACTTTTCAAGAGAACCCTCGTCGTATGTGCTAAACTCTTCAGAAAGTTCTTCTTCTGAAGATCCGGAATAGAAAAAGTTCTCAGAGAAGATAAGGTCCCATATTCCCTCTTTGCGAAACACTTCGAGCATTGCAGGAGAAGAGGTAAGAACCTTCCTGAAGGCCTTGAGAACGTAATGCTGCAAGGTACTGACGAAGACCCTTCAGGAAAAGAAACAATGGGGTAAGAAGGGGGAAGGTTAGAGATCAGAAGATGAGAGAATTCTAAAGGAAAATAGAATCATCACTTGCAGGAGTCTGCATACAGCTAAATAGAACCAGAACTACAATAGAAACAGAAAATCAATGAGAAACCTTACCATAAATGGCTTCGAAACCCATTTTTATTTGAACAAGCCTTGATAGAGGGGAAAACCATATGCAGAACCTTAATGACCCATTTAATTGAAAGTTCATCATAAAATGAAGAAACTAATGTGGGAATCTGACCAGAGGTTGTTTGGTCAGAATGAAAGTTAACATCTTCTGGAGCAAAAAGGAATGAACAAAGAACCCTGCTCAGCTTGACAAAATAATCATTCCAAAGCTGAGAATAAGATTCCATCTTAGGTAAAGGAACGGAAGGCTCCATCAAAGAACTTATAGCATTATCCTCATTTTTAAAGTAAGAAATGGATGTCTGACTGCCATCCTGCTGCAGTACAGAACCCTTCGCCTGCTGCTTGTACTCTTGAAGCATGAAAGCAGGTGAACAAAAGCCATTAGCAAATTTATGGACACTTCCATCTTCACATAGGAACTGCAGGTTATTCACATTCTCAAAGCTGATTACTTGTTAAGGACGTTAACATGTGTTCATGCACAATTGATAACATAAAATGTTAAATATCAGCCGATAAATCCAGAACAGAAACCCCTGTTGTCACTGATTCACTCGATAAGTAAGAAACTCTTGAAAATTTTGGAGGAATGGAAAAAACAAAAAGTGTTTGTTTTGTATCAATGCGCTAAAGATAAAATTCACGACAATACAACCACTCTAAAAAGTGGCTTTAGTGCAAAGACTAAAAAGTATGGCATGCTAAAAGATAACATAATAAACAATTGTATCTTCAAGAGAGTGGCATAATTCCAGCTAGCATACAAAAGAATAAGAAATTTCATTTTCAAAAAGACAGAGACACAATTAAAGCATTAACGTGCAAACAACAAAACACCATAAGAATCTAAATACGAGAGAAGTCATAAACAGGATACACAGCTTCCCTAAGAACTTCCAAAGAAAGAACATGGAGCTCAAAAATTTCCAGCAATGCATTTTGCTCACTGCATAAAAATTAACCACCAGAATAAAAGATCAAGAAAGAGAAGTAGGAATAAAATGATAAGTTAAAACATCAGACAATTTTCTTCAGGCGTTGAAGGAACAGAAAACATTAAATTTAAGGCTTTCATAATAGAAAGAATTAATGAGAAAAAACTTTAAGATCATTATGCATCAGCTTCCCAAAGAAAACTATACAATTTCAATATTAACTAGGCAGAAACTCAAATAGCCTACTCCTCAATCACCAGAAAAAAGCCAAGTTTAGCAACTCTGGACCCACTTGGATAATGTGGGATCATATAACTAACAGATGTTTCACAAGTAGGCATTAATTAAACTGGTATAAAAATATTTAAATGTAGGATACCTTAACAAAGAGTAGAAATCTGATGTAAAGTAAACCAAGAACTAAGAGTGTAGAAAATACAGATTCTACACGAGTACTTCCACAAACACCATGAAACTCCTCTATTGACACCTACCCACACAATCACTATAGTTTCTAGTCAAACTCCATCCAACTTTTGAAACATCAACAAAAATAATCATAGGCGTTTGGACACTACCTAATAAAATCACTCTCAACCCTAGAGACCTTGTAAAAATCTTACTTCGTTAAATGAACTAAAAGGTTCAAGTTCTAGACAACAAAGGGAAGGGGCCAAAAAAGACAGGAAATAGAACCAAATGAAAAGAAAAAAACATGACATGACGTGCTTAGGGGTAAACTACAATGATGGCCCCTATTGTTTTCGACCTTTCTAATTTTAGGCACCGATTTTGAAAAGGTTACGTTCTGCTTGCTTTTATTTTTAATCTATCATATTTTGGTTACTAAGCCGTTAACTTCGTTAGTTTAATGATATGACACGTTAGTAAAAAAGATTAAATTTTAACTTAAACCTTAAATTTTAGATAAAATACTTATTTAACCCTAGACTTTAGATACATACTAATTTAACCTCATTCACTTTAAATAAAATATCAATTTAATTCCTAAATCTAATCAAAGTTTCAAATGTCGCTCATCACCATTGTCAGTCACCATCGGTATATGTTATCAGTTATTGCCAACCGCTATCATCACCATATTAATAAATTTATCATTATAATCCTTTGAAAATAAGGATATAAAAAATCTAATTATGTGTCATCATACATTTATATTATAATGATAATAATTTTTTTATAAATTATATATTATATATTTTAATTATATAAATTAAGATGGATCGGAAATAAAATGGATCATCAATATAGTTTGCCTTCAAATTTTTAACATTAAATTTTATTTAACATAATATTTTTTTATTTTAAATATTAGTTAAGATTATTGAATTTTATCCGTTTATAAAATTAAAATTTTATTTGTCTATTTTTTAATATTTTTTCTTTGTTTAAAAAAGATTTTGTAAAAAATAAAATAAAACTTAAATATACAAAAGGTGCCCAACCTATACTCGTTTTTTCAGTTTAGTGTTTAACATTTCATTTTGTTACTAAAAATGGGTCAAGCCGTGAATGACCGTTAGTTTTCTACGTTAAGTGTCACGTGTCACAATTTGATAATACTAAGAATTTCATATAAAATTAAAAAAAAATTATATATTTTTTAAAAAAGAAAATAGAAATTTTGAAATAACCCCAAAACTTTAAAACCTTCATTTCAACCCCTAAACCCATACCGATCATCGCCCTTTGCCGTCGACGATGCTCCACCCGACCACACCTTTCCCAACGACCAAAATCCCTATGAAATTGTGACTGGTCAATGGCGGACGGCGAATCAATGTTTTATACCCCGCGAACCCTATGATGAAAATCGTAATCCCAAGCGATTTTGACGGCCAATCAACAACAACTACGATGACTTATAACTAGGATTATGACAATGACTACGTCGGCGGTGGTGGACATGGTCGAAAAGGACGGCAATGGTGGGTTAGTGTTAAGATTTGGAGATTTTAGGGATTTTGAGATTTTTTGTAATTTAAAAGAAACAAGGGTTTTTTTAAATATAATAATTTTTTTAGTATTTGTTTTAAAAAAAATTAAAATTACGAGATTATAACATGTGTCACTTAACGGAGAAAACTAACGGTCTATCACAGTTTGACCTATTTTAAGTAGCAGAATGAAAAGTTAGACGCCAAACTGAAACAAAATAAAAGTTAGACACTAAACTGAAAAAACCTTGCATAAGTTGGATACCTTTTGTATATTTAAGAAAAAAAACAGGGCTGCTAGGGGTGTTCAAATAACCGAACTAATAACCGATCGAACCGAATTAGTTCGGTTAATTCGGTTCGGTTACCGAATTAGTTCAGTCGGTTAACGGTGAAGAAAATTTTTAGAATTCGGTTAATGGTTAATTCGGTTCGAATTCGGTTAATTAACCGAATTAACCGAATTATTAAATTTTAAATATTAAATATATTATATATAACATATGGGCTCAACCTAAATCATTTAAAACCCAATTAATAATTTAAGATCTAATAACTTTTAAACTTAAATCAATATTAATTAATTAAAAAATTATATAATTTTTTTATTTTATAATTATATATTATTTAAATTATTTGTAAACTCTTTTTTAATTAAAAAATATTAAATATATTATATATAACATATGGGCTAAGCTCAAACCATTTAAAACCCAATTAATAATTTAAGATCCAATAACTTTTAAACTTAAATCAATATTAATTAATTAAAAAATTTATCTAAAATTTTTATTTTATAATTATATATTATTTAAATTAATTATAAACTTTTTTTTGAATTAAAAAATATTTAATTTTTATATAAATTAGAAAATTTTAAAAAAAATTCGGTTAATTCGAAATTAACCGAATTAACCGAAATTTATTCGCTTCGGTTAATATGTTCGAAAAAAAATTCGGTTCGGTTAACGGTTAAAGAAAAAAAAGTTTGGTTAATTCGGTTATGGTTAATTCGGTTCGGTCGGCCACTGTTTTAACCGAATGAACACCCCTAGGGCTGCCCTGTATAGTAAAATCAAAGGGAGTCTCTCTCTCTTTTGCCTTTGCTATTAATTCCAACAAAACAATAAAAACAGAAACCCTTAAAAGAAATACAATTTAAAGAGATAATGTGTTTTAAGTGGTTGTGTTTGTTTTATTATTTATATTAAAGATTTTTAAAATTTTTGTTGAATAATAGAAAATTAAGTTTGAGGACTTGATGATTCAGGTGAGGAGGTTTACTTTTTGATTTTTTAATAAATATAAATTTTCAATTGTCTTTAATTTTAAATAAATGTAATCACAATTTTATTATTATGGTTTATTTTTAAATAAACTTTACGGGTTCTAGATAAGGTTGGTACAATTTGAGTTTTTTTTTTTGTAAAATGGATATTGAATTCACATTCAGATAATAAAAATGAGTGAATTAAAAATTTTGAGGTTAAACAATTGTCTATGATAACAGTCGAAGTGACTAGTAATGACAATTGACAGTGGGCGACAATGGTAAAGAGCGGCAACTGATGGCGAGGATTTTGATGGAATCCAATGGTCAAATTGATATTTTATCTAAAATGCAAGTGTTAAATTAACATTTTATATAAAGTTTAGGGTTAAATTTGTGTTTTGTCTAAAATTTAGAGATAAAATTAAAATTACTCTTTTTTTTCCTAAACATATCATGTCATTAAATTAAAGAAAGTTGACGATCGAGTGACTAAAATTTATGAATTGATAAAATAAGTGATCAAAACATTCCTTTTTAGTTTACCCTATCCTTAGTTATGTCGTCAAGAGACCAAAAACAGGCTGAGGAAATGCAGCTGATGAAAACTTCAAAGGTGACTGGTAAACATTCTAGTTCTATATCTTAAGCAATCAAATCAATTGAAACCTAATGCTTTTACTGGCAAACTCAATGTAATGTCAAAACACAAACGAAAACCCTAAACAATTTTAAGAAAGTACCTTTTTCCGTCACCATTTGAGGCACGTTTTATAAGTGGCGTATCGATAGATGGAAGTGCAAGATCATCCAATAGAACTTCAAGTCCCCCAATGGTTTTAAAATGATTTTGACCACTTGAATTATTAGATAACACGACACAAAGGATTCTCAAAGTCAAGCACTGCAGTGACGTATCTATCCACCGTGCCTTCATTCTCAACCTTCTCATGACACTCATCAAATCTGAAAAACAAACGGCTTCCATGAATAAAAATAAAATATAAACAATCCAGTGATCATTTCTATTTTAGGGTTTAGGTTTTAGAGTTTAGGGTTGGTATAAGATGATAAACAAAAGTGATCATTTATAAACATGGCAAATGGTTCACACATATTACTAAAGTTACATAAGATGGTAAACAGAAGTGCCTAACTTACCTACGAACCAATCAAGGCCACCAGCTTCCACCACTGAGACAATAGCGTTCTGATGCCAATGAAGCCTTGTTTCAAAAAGAGAAGCCTTTAAACAATTAGAAGAGTGGGTTGAAGTTGAAGCACCAATTTCATAAAAATCTTCATTAATACTGTACATCTGAGCTTTCTCAAGTATATTTGAATCTATATTAATACAGCTAAAGATGATTGACACCACATATACAAGTACTCGCTGTAAGAAACCCGTTTTCTCTGCTATGAAATTCGAAATATTCTCATCAGTAGAAAGTGAACCGGTCATTGTTTTGAGCTGGATAACTGCACCTGCAAATTTTTAAAAGTACAAAGAAAAAAAAAGGTGCTCAGCAATAAAATTCAGACTTTCATGTAAGTCTAACAGAAGCACAAATAAAATGACAAGGTCATATCAGAATTAACGGGAAATCAGAATACAAAAACGTGAGGGTTTAAAGTAAGATTTACTTTTTAAGCCATGATTGGAATACGTAAATTGACGCTAATTATTTTTTTATTTTAAAAATGATATGATAGTGATAACATAAAAAGTAATTATTATTATTATTATTTAATATTTGTTATGACAATAAAGTTATCAGTCATTTAAATTTTATTTTAAAAAATACATATAGAGGTGACACATTAGTTATTGGTAATGATAACTGATTAATGATAGTTATTGTAAAGCAAGTTCCAAAAATAAGACTGTTATAACTAAAAATATAATAAATAATTTTTATTTATTAATTTAAATATATAGTTATGATAAAAAAAATCACTAATAATAATAATATTAGTTTTTAAATTGTATTCACTATTATTCTTTTTGCTTCAAAAGCCGTAATTATAACAATATAAATAACTGTGACGAACTCATAAAAATTATAATTAATATGATAGTGATGGAGTTATTAATGACGATTGTTTACTATAAATTTCAGTGACTAAATTTGATATTTTTAATGACTATCCTAATGTCATTGAAAATACATTTTCTTGTATTCAACCTCAAAGATGCACGTCAACATGCTTTAGTGACTGAAAAGTGTGTATCGTGATATGGTGAAAGAAAACCCCAAGTCCATAAGTATCAATTGTAATTAGAATCATACTTAAGCTTATCTTACTCTTTTATTAAGAGTACATATTGTTTTAGGAATCTATTAAGAATAAAGAGTCCTTATTATCTTCATCCCTAGAAAAATAATATCATCTAGTAGAACATTATATTAGAAGTCAATTTATTAAGGTTAAATAGGAGATAGAAGTGCATTGTTATGATGAACAGAAAATGAGTCGATTTTTAGTATTTTTCTTTTGTTTTGCTTTCCCTTCTTTTTTTCGTCATGCTATCAGATTCGATTCATTCATAATAAACATGTCTTCTTCATTACTAAGGCATGCTGAAAGTATCATTTGGTTCATCAAATGTTACCAGCCCTACAACTAATATCATTGTAATCGAGAATATTGTTGTTCAAATGGTTGATTTGTAGAATATTCACTAAGACTATCGTGATATCCAATTCTATAGAAAAGATAGATAATCAAACTCTTGAAAACTAGTTCTTCAATCTTTCACAACATGTCGGTCAAGATTTGAATCTTCAAAGCCAATCCTTGAAGCCAAATTTATTGCATGTTGACTCCTTGTTAGTTTCCTATGATGACACCATAAATGACAAGGAGAAGATGAAATAGAAAAGCTCATAATTCAATCACATCCCTTTTATATACAATTATTTGTATTCTAGATTGCTCGAAGATCGATTGATTGCACCATGACATGTTAAATCATTGTCATTATTGTATCCATTATGGTACAATGAAAAGGCCCATTGTAAATACCATGTCGAAGTTCAAGGATATTTTATCAAGAGAAGTATAAACTGTAGACGTCGAGTTCAAAATTCTTCTTAGTCATGGAGTTGTAGAATTAAAGATTAAGGGTTAGTCTATCATGACCCAAGTAATGAAGATAAAACGTCTTATCTAGGTGTGAGTAGTGTTTGAATCAAAATTTGTGTCCTAACTTAACTCTAAAACTATCTCCTAATTTGTAGATGACTCATTTTATCTAGATCTCTAATTCTTGTATATAAATATCTTATGTACCCTCTTGTAAAAAATGTGGAATTTTTTCCTTGAATAAAAATACTTATTACCTTCATCAGAATTTCCCTTCATCAGAAAAATATATTTTCACATGGTATCAGTCGCTGGCATTGATCCCAGCTTTGCTCCCGCCGTTATTTGACAGAAATTCGACTGGTAGTGAGTTTTCTTTGCATTGCCACTCTCTCGCCCATAAAAATCCCATCACCCTACAGCTGTTTGGTACATGTTCCGCTGTTGTTTGGTACTTGTTCCAATGATGTTGGTAATTGTTCGGCCAGCATTGTCTCTTCGCTGCACAGCCCATTCGATACTCATCATAGCACCGATCTCCTCAAATCTCCGATTGTAACTTATAGCAGTGTTCCCTGCTAGTTCGCGACATATCCCAATCTCAATTCCTTGACAGTCATGGCATATCCTTCTTCATCCAACCTGTCATCCGAGGTTGAAACTTCCATTGTTTAGCCATCTCCTTCCGACTTGGTTTCCTCGTCCATTACTTGTCATCGTCTAAATGGTGAGAATTACATTGTTTGGTCTTAATATGTGCGTCTATTCATCATCAGTCATCAGAAACAACTATATATCTCTGACAATATGTTGGTCCCTGATCCCTCTGACCCCCAATACGAAACTTGGCTCACCAAGAACACCACGATTATGTCCTGGCTCCTCAACTATATGATGCCTGACATTAGCGCAAACTTCATGCTCTACACCACCGCCTTGGAAATCTAAAATGTTGTCAAGGAGACGTACTCCAATCAAGAAAACTTGTTCGTTCTGTTTACCATTGAATGTTGAATCAATGACTTGAAGCAAGGTGATCTCACTATTACCCAATACTTCACTCAACTATCTCACTTATTGTAGCAAATTTATTTGTTTGAGTCTCCCGATTGGAAAACCGGTGTAGATGCCAAACTCTACAAAGGGCTACTTGAAAACGATGTATTTTTCAATTCATATCGAGACTTCTCGTCTCTCTTGATGATTTTTGTGGCCAAATTTCTGGGCATCAGGCTAAATTATGTCTCTTAGCGAGGTGTTCTCTGAAGTTCACCACGAAGAAAGCCGTCGCTCTCTGATGTTTCCTCCACCCGTTGAAAGTTCTGCCTTAAATACCATTCATTCGGTGACACTCGTGTCAAGAAAGACCGTCCCTGATGCAATCACTGTCGAAAACCTGGTCATGTTCTTGATAAATGTTGGAAGCTCTATGGACGTCTAGCCAACTGGACTCCATCCAAATCCTCCTCGCGTCCATCTCACGGTAACTCTACTGTAACAACGTTTGGAGAGTGGTTCATTTTCTCGTCAATAGCTGGACGATCTGGGCAGATTTTAGTCATTTACAAATTCCTCCTACTACTGAGTATAAGTCTGTCTGCACTGTTAGTGTAGGTAGTTCTCCTTTTACCTTTTTATCCCCTTCACCACGGTGTGTCTCCTGGATTGTTGATTTCGAGGCAAGTGATCATATGACAGGAAACTACGGTTTATTTTCAACATTTTACAATATGGAGTCTCATGTAGTGTTCGTACTGCTGATGACTCCCTATCATCGGTTAAAGGCAGTGGTTCGATTCACATTAATAGTCATATTCTTCTGTCTAATTTCATCTTTGTTCCAAGTTTGACTTGCAATCTTCTTTCGATTAGCAAATTATCTACTGATTTGGGTTGCACTTCTCATTTTACTCATGATTATTGTGAATTTCAGGATGTGACCTCGGGGATGGTGATTGGAAATGATAGGCGTCGTGGTGGACTCTACATCCTTGAAGCTTATCCTTCTGCTCTCGTTCTCAACCGCCCACCTGCACCATTTATCTCTTCATTTGTTTCAGTTTCTCCCATAGATGTTGTTGTCGAAATTGTGTTATGGCATTTTAGGTTAGGTCATCTCAGTTTTCCTTATCTTGCAAAATTGTTTTCCAAATTATTTATTAATAAAAATCTCACATCATTTTCTTGTGACATTTGGTCTCTTGCAAAGCACATTCGTAGCTCTTATCCTCCTTTCCCCTCTCGCTTGCCTAAACTTTTTTTCTTAATTCATAGTGACATTTGGGGACCATCACAGGTTATAGGCTTACATGGAATTCGTCAGTTTATTACTTTTATTGACGACCACTCTCGTACCACTTGGACCTTTCTTATAAATGACAAGTCCGAGTCTTGTACCATCTTCAAACACTTCCACAAAATGGTTGAAACACATTTCCAAAGTTCTATTGGCATCCTTAAATCTGATAATGGTGAGGAATATCTCTCTTGTTCATTAGGTTATTTCTTCCAGGAAAATAGAATAGTCCACCTCACTTCCTGTGTTGACACTCCCCAATAAAATGGGTCATCAAACGTAAAAATCGTCATCTTCTTGAGGTAACTTGAGCACTACTTTTTTCTTCTAATGTTCCGAAATAACTTTGGGTTGAGGCTCTCTTAAAAACTACTTTTCTAATCAATCGTCTACATAGTAAGATAATTGCCTTTAAATATCCCCGAGATATTCTTTCCACCAAATTTCCACATTTCAAACCTTTTACCTATTTTATTCCTCTTCGTGTATTTGGTTGTATTGTCTTTGTCCATGACCACAATCCTCATAAATATAAACTTGATCCTGAGCAATTCAATGTTTTTTTGGGTTATTCATCCCTTTAGAAAGGTTATCGTTGCTACTTTCCTTCTACAAAACTGTTCTTCACTTATATGGATGTCACTTTTCAAGAGCATACATCATTCTTCTCAAAAACCGAAATCCAGGGGAGAGTGAATCTGGATTTTAATTATTATTGATTATTACTGAGTTACCCATCAGTCTATCTTCTATTAAAAAACCTACCACTTCACAACCTCTTAACACCACCACATATTATAATGAAAAACAATCCATTAATTCCACCGACTCTCATGAAATACTCAAGTCATATACCGATATTATCATCTACATAAGACGACCCTAAACAAGCTCTAACTTCCACATCGCAGCCAATGCATTGTCAAGAGCCAGAACTGAGTTTAAATCCATCAACAGATAGAGGAAATGGTGACTAAAATAAGTTGTATGTGGTAATTGATACTAGTGAATTACCAATTTCTCAACAAAAAAAAAGAGTTAGACGATATACAACTCATCCTATTGGTAAATGTGTTGCTTATGGGAAACTACTGGCTGGTTT